ATCAATATTATTCCGAATTCTTTTAATATTAAAAATATTTTTGCCCGATTATTCTAGAATATTCTATTTAATTACGAGTATTTCTAATATTATTTCCCGTTCCGAAGAATAATTTCGGCGGTGTACGGCCGTATTTTTATACGGGTATTTTCCTTTTAAATATTAATTATATTCCTAGCTTTCGTAGATAATATTTTAAAGGTTAAGGAATTGTAAAATAATAGTAAAATAGGGTAAGAATATATTTAGTATATAATATTAAGTCTATTCTAAAAGGTAGATTTTAATTTAGCTAGTAGAAAATATCCGGTCAGGCTATAAAGGTTTTTATTTTGTACGCGAGCCTTTAATAGGCCCGGGATCTGGTGCCCGGCCTCCGATTATACGCTTCTATCGTGATTGTACTTATTCTACTACTTATTATAACGGCCTCTTTACCTACCTTATCGCTCTTATTGGTTCGTTATAACGTTCTACTCTTCGGGCCTGGTTCTTAAGCCCTTCGGCACGATAACCTTACACTTCTAATATATTATTTGTAATTTCCTTATTTATTCCCGTTTCTTTACAAAGCGGTGTATTTACTATTCCTATTAATTCTTAGAACTTCTTATATTCTAATTATCCTAAAACCTTCGTCAAACCGTTAACTAGTATCTTCTTTGTCTTTAAATACTCAATTTAAATCCTTCCCTTTATAATTTCCTACTTTAAATAATAATAATAGATATTAATATATTTAAATTTAGTTATTAATTCTATAATCTCGATAGTAAATATTCGTATCGTTTAAGTACTATTATAACCGATAATAAAAATATCTTTATTAAGGGGAATATTAATTTCCCTGTATAAATATATAATAGTAATAACTTCCTTTACTATATTTAAAATAAAGAGGAATTTTATTTCTATTATTAACATTAATACTATTTCTTATTTAATAGTACTCTAATAAACCAAACTATTAAAGAGACTAATTATAAATCTTTATAAACTTTTTCAATTTAAAGAGTTATCAGCGTACGATATATTTGAAGCAATTTCGAATTTCGCTAATGTATTGTAATAGAGGGAAAAATTAAAGTAGAATTAAAGGTAATATAGGAGCTTATTAATAACCTTATAATATTGAAGATTAGGATTATAGTTATAACGAATTAATCGGTTAGTAGCGAAGGCAATATTAAATTAAGTAATTATGGTAGCTTATATTATAGAGCCGACAACGACCTAGTATTTCCGAATTTTATTAAAAGAGGCTACGCTATTATAGGGTATAAATTCTTCGTTATTTATTAGAATAAAGGTAAAAGCATAGGGATTTCTAATTAATTTAATAATTTTATAAATATATTTGTATTAAAATAACTAAATTTAGTCTACCTTTCGATCTCGAATAATCATAATATCTAAGAACTATTAGAGGTCTTTACCGCTAATAAATTTATACTTCTCCTCTAATTTCTTTGTAACCCAGGTAATTTTATTATATTAAACTTATTAAAAGCGAAAATAATATTATCGACGTAATAGAAAATTAAAATTCTATTGCGTTTAAGGATATACGGGTCTTCGAGTGACGGTTTAAACCTCAAGTTTTAGAAGGTACTATTGAATTTTCACTATTATAGTAAAAGAATACATTAGAGATTATAGAGGGCCTTAAGGAGTTTAAGGATAGTACTATACTTTCAATAATTAGGGAGTATATATATATATAAATCTCTTTATCGAGGTAGGTATTAACGAAGGTATTTACCGTATTGTATTAAATAAATTCGAAATTAAATTTAGTAGTATATACAATAATTAATTAAAATAAGCGATTGATTAATATAGAGGTATACGTCTCCTTATTATAATTATATTATTAATTTCTTTTAATCATAAAGCGAGCTTTTATTTTTAATAACCGATTATATTTATTAAATTTATATATATATACCTATATATAATCGAAGATTTAACGACTTTTAATACGGGGGACGTCCTTATTTATTTTAACCTATAACCTTATCTCTTTATAACTATTAAAATATATTTCCTCTACTTGTTTAAAGAAATTACCCAAATTGTAATATTTGAAATCGTAGTAAATTTTTAAAACTAGGAGAAGGTTTCAATATTTAATAGAATCTAACCTATTACCTTTAGCAATTAAATAGTTAATTTCTACTTTTATAATTATTTTACTTTAGTATTATCCTATTAATTAAGCGAATTTCCTAATATTAAATAAGGTTTCCTATAATTTAAAGGTTAGGAAATGAATAGGCTCTAATAAATTGGTTATAAGCCTAATAATAAAGGAGGTTAGTAGTGTATTTAATAGGGTAGAATATTTGAGTATAAAGTCAATACATATTTTATTTTGAATAGTAGGTTCTAATAGTTTTAAACTAGTTTTGTTACTATCTCTTCAAAGTTTATTATTAAAGAATAATAGTAGGGGAGGGGTAAAACCGTTATTTTCTATATTTTAAATTATATTAAAGAGTTCGAAGTATTATATAGATAATTAAGGAGGTTAATTAATTCGGTTAAGTAAATCGGCGATTTCGTCGCTAATTAACCTTAATCCTTCTTTAAAATCGTTAAGGTTTCCTAAATAAACCGAATCTTCGTTGAAGAATATATTACGGGTATAGACGATACGGTTGGTTTAAAGGTTTTAAATTTAGTAAATAGAAGAGGAAGCGTAACTGATTAAGAATCTAATTTAAACTTTTAATTAAAATTTCTTGAACTCTTACTCTTTCTTTTATATAGTACCCGTTATTATATATACTTTATAGCCGTAAATACGTAAATCATTAAAATTAAGTTTATAGGGCTCGGTTTATACCCCCTTATAGTAAGCGACGAAAGTATAGAATCTTTCGTATAGAAATTTCTAATTATAAAAATATTTAAATAATCAGTTAGTAAAATAAATTATAACGGAAACGATTTAAGGCTAAAAATTATAAAGGAAATTTATACTATTCGTTATTATACGCGCTTTTTTTTTTTTAATTATACCCCTTAAGCGCTTAGTACTAACGTTTTAATTTTGGGTATTAAGTATTAAGGGCTCGAAAATAATAAAGCGTATAATTAGTTTAATCTTAACGTATTAATTATTAAATTCGTTATTATATTTAATATATGTAACTTTAATATTATATTGGTAGTTAATTGTATTAATAACCGAGAAGAGCCCTTTAATAATAAGTTCAATTTATTTATTCACTATATAAACGTCCTAAATAAATTTAATCTACTAATAAATAAGAAATATAATATATTTGAAACCTCTTCTCCCTTCTTTATAATTAAGGAAATTAATAACGAAATATTCCCCTACGCTAAACTCTCGGTCGCGTAATTTTCATTTAATTTATTATTTAATTTTTAAAATACTATATATATTATATTAATAAGTAACGGGGCCTCTAAATCTAGCGCCTTCGACGTTATATAAATATTCGAAGATTTAAGGACCGTAATAACCGAATTGCTTGTACTAAAGTTTCGTAGGTATTTTATATATGCGACGGTTAGTAAAGGAATTAAAGCAATTTTGACGAATAAAGAAGGCGGCGTAGTTAAAGGAGAAGGGCAAATATTTAAAAATTATTTAATAATGGATTTCTTAAAGGAAATAAAAGAATAAGCCGTCTAATCAATAAAGGTAATTATTTAGGAGTTTATAGTCCTAGTAAAAACCCTACTTTCGAAGCAAGTAGAGTAATATAAAATTTATAATAAAATCAAAGTGGAAAGCTACCTCCTTTAACCATAGCTTTAAAATACCTTTCTCTCCTTATACTTTTACGTTTATAATTTTAAAGCCCTTAATAAATATTTAAAATTTTCTAACCCAAACGCGGTCCTTTAGGGACGCTATTCAAAATAATAAAAAATAATTAATTTCGTTAAAAATATAAATAGAAGCCCTAAAATCGAAAATTGTAGAATTCTTAAGCGGATAAATATTATCCTTACTATTATTCGTATTAAAAATACCTTATTTAACGAAAATACTAAATTATAAATACCGATTTTTCGTTTCCTTTATTATTATAACGTAATAATCTACGTAGAGGTAATAAAGCGGTCCCGTATTTAATTCCTAACCTTCTTAACCTCTTCACTAATTTTGGAATACTTTTCGAAATCTTTATTAATAAGTTTCTAAATAGGGCCGCTTAACTTCTATTTAGGATTATCTCTAACTTTAAACATTAAATACTAATAATATATTATTAGGTAAAAGCCTCGTTCGCAAATTTTATAAAGTAATATAATACCTCCTCTTTTTTTCGGCTATAAAAAATCTTTCGCGTTTTTATCTAGGCCGTATTTCTCCTTTACGTTTATCTTCTATTTCTTTTTATAATTAAAATTAGGAGCGTCTTCCTTATTAAATATATACTTTTATAAGTTAAAATAATTAATACCCTAAGCGCTACAAACTACAACCTTTTGAATATTAATTAATAGTATAGTACGTTTTAATATATTAACCTTTTTAAAATTAGCGGATACGTCCCAAGCAAACCGACACACGACAGCCGAGTCCTTCCAGGCCCGATCTCCATCCAGCTCAGCCATGTCAGGAACTTTTGCGCTCATGAGGGCGCAAAGCTCACTGGTACACGATTGTACCACCTTACCTGTCGGCGAGATACGCGTGTGTCGTTGGCTGCTCTACCTATCCCTATCAACAAAGCCATGTAGATTTCGACCCAGCCTGAGGGGCTAATGCATGGCAAAGAGAGTGCCCACTCATTGGACACAAGCATCCCATCCGCCCAACAGTTCTTCATTATTTGCCTAACGACGTCCATGTTCAATGAATGCGACAAGTGCTCGGTACTGAACCCTGGGGACACAAAACACCCACGTTCTCCTTCGCCAGCACCATCCCTCGGAACGCCATCAGTTCGGTGTGCGGCACCTCTACCGTCTCAACATCACAACACATCGGATTTGGCGTTCTCTCAGCACGCAAGATGGGACCTCCGCGGAAGCAAGAGGCTTCGCAAAAGTTGAAGCGGCTCAAAGAGTTCTTCCGATCCGGTGGGAAACGTCAACAGCCTCAAACCCCCAGACGCTCGGAAGATGACAAGAGCCCGCTATCCCCGGCACGGACCCTGTCTTTCTCCAGTTATCTTGAAAAAGTGGAGGAGGAAAACAAACGGCGTCTCCAGGCGGCAGCGGATCTTTACCAAGCCATCAACCAGAACGACCATATCAGCGTCGTTGAGCTGTATCAGAAACACGCCGCTCTTAATCCCCGAGACAAAAGAGGGCGAACTCCTCTTCACACTGCTGCCGAGCTGGGCCGAGATAATATCCTTCACTTTCTCCTGGAACAGAAAGGTGTTGGCCTCGATGCCACCGACATTCAAGGTTTTACTGCACTGCACCTCGCAAGCATCAATGACCATTCCGATTGCGTCTTTTATCTATTGAAGAGGGGAGCAAATGCTCAGCTTGTCGATGGGAACGGCCACTTGCCATCATTCTACGCGTCAACTGACACGAAAAACAAGTTCGACAATCCCCCTATTGTTCACGGCAGCGACCAGTATGCCGCTGTCAACCACTGGATAAACAAGGCTGCGTTCAATACAGGACCGATATCTCCTGAAGGTGCCCGAGAGGAGGTGTGTCGCTATTTCCAAGGCAGCCTCTGGGTACCCGACCTATCCACAAGATGGCGTGTACTTCCGATCTGGGACTTGGTGTATGATCATGAACACTCTGAGGATCTTTACACGCGGTTCAACATTCCCAAGAAACGGTCGGAGGCCAAAAAGAAATGGATCCATCTGCCAATTGCTAGCAGGGACCTTGTTCTTGACCTTGCGAAGAGGATCTACGCTGCTTCAGGACGCGATCTACAGTCATATCAGAAGATCGAAAAGCTTGTCAACGACATGTTCAAACAGGTTGATGTGACAGGTCCGGAGGGAAAGGTGCACTTCAAGGTATGTGTGTCCCTATCATACTTGTCCAGAGGTTTCCATGTCCAGACATCTGACGTTATGAAGTTCAAGAGCTTGAAGCACGGCGGCCCAACCGACCCTGACGATGAACGACCTACGTCAGAAAGCATTTATGCGATGGCAGTAAGTCGCATATCCCATATTTACCTTTGCGCGCACAAATGTTGATCACATTGCTGTTGTAGCTTCCTGTGGTCGATGTTGATAAGAAAGACTATGTTTCGATGGCGCTGGTAGCCCAAGAACAAGCGAAGAAGAAAGCGAAGCCGAGGCAAGAAACAAAGTTGCACCTTGATGATCGATCAAGGAAGCACTTTAGCTATATGCTCAAGGCAGTGGGCTTCATGGACCAACCGCTGCCTCGTTGCCTCGACCAATCTTATCATGACGACTTGGATAACGAAAAACTGGACTTCCTCAATAATGACCAGGTCATGGTACGATACATCAGATACATGAAGAACAGATGTTCACGGATTCTCAATGAAATGGGCTATCCGACTGACCATGACTTTACGGATCCAAACGAAAAGACAAAAGTCAATGCGCAGTATGAAGAGACAGAGCCTGCACCTCAACATGAACCCGACCAGCACCAGCAACCAATGGACACCCAAGCAGGATCACCAGAAAATGACAGAACTCCGGCACAAGACGACACGGCACGTCATATTCCCAGGGGACAAGGGCCGCAGCCGGTGGAACAGACATCTTTCGAGGCACCGCGACCTCCACACAGCCCACGAAGGACTTACACTGGTGCTTCAACGACGTCACAGTCGCAAGGCCGATTCTCGATTCAACGCTCAGACACCGAGACAAGCATGTCTCCAGAGGATTCGAAGAGGCTTTTTGAGTCTCTGCATAGTGAATCGAGTAACCAGAAGAAGCTGGCGCAATCTGGGCACCCAGTCATGTTATCCAGAGTGGGCCCTACTATCGGACCCCCGAAGTCTCCTGACCAAACCCAACATCGGGCAGGCCCACTGGCCACGGCAACGCCTGCAACGCCTGGCACCCCTGGTACCTTGGTGAAGGAACTTGCGGACACCGGGGACCAGGGAAACGCGAACACCGGTGGCCCGGGACATGTGCTTGCGTCTGAACCTATCTCCTTACAAGAGTCAGATGACTTTTTAACTGTCCCGTATTTTTGGCTTTTCAAACTCGACGCAGGTAAGATTCACCTGAGCCGATATCATGTGCCGTGCCTTCTCTAACCATCTGTATGACATCTCTAGACACAATAGTCACTCTATACCCGGAGAGGTGGGACAGGGGGAACGAACAACAACTGCAGCTTCATATCCTGGAAAGCATCAGTGATGACCGACACATTCACAACAAAAGCCATGAAAACGGCGGCGAGGACTTGAATATAGATATTGTATCCAAGGCTATTCTGAAAGCGTGCATGTCTTTTGAGGCAAAGGCGCTTGTCCCGTCTCTCAACCCGGATGCCATCTTCAATGATGACGAACATCACGGTGGTCAGCTCAGAAGAGTGCTGCTTCCATACACAGAGGCCTTTTCAGCCTCAATCGCTCAGCTTGTAGGTCTCCTTCGCTTAATTCATATTCTTTGCTTACTCCCCTGCCACTCTCATGCACATCGTGCTCAACGATTCTGACCTGCTATTTGATCACAACGCAGTACTTCCAAGTCACACAACGCTTTGATAAGTTGAAGAAGGGAATGGGTTCGATTAGCAAAGACCCAAACAAGTTCTACCAAGACACGCAGAAAGAAACCGCCATCCTTATTGACATCGATGACACCATTGGTGAGATCGGGATTATTAAGCGAGTCTTGTCAAATCAGGCCAAGGTCTTTGATCGATTCCATAGTGAGGTTCGAGGCAAGAACCCTAACAAGGTTGCCAAACCACACGAGGGAGAGATCCTGGCACGGTTTGATATGCTCGAGGATGAAGCTAAACGTGTCCGGTCCATGGTACGTACATCGGATCAATTTAAAGTGGTTGACTAAAAACTAAGCGCGCCGGATGTACAGGTTACCACCTTGCTGGACTTGCGTCAACGAGAAGCAACTCTCGAGGACGCTCTATCCATGGGTGAGCAGTCGACAATGCTCTTTGTTTTCACTGCAGTGACGGTTCTGTTTGTAAGTCCAACACAATAACAATAGGTATATTCTTCACATTGTCTCACAAAGCTGACAAACACAAACAAAAAGGCCCCTCTGTCCTTTGTTGTTGGACTATTAGCCTTAAGCATCGATGGACTTCCAGGAATATGGAACCGCTCACCCCTCGCCGAGGTTTTCGGTAAGTACCTCTATGCTATTCTATCATTGCGTGCTTTCTGTCTCCCAGGTTTAGTGCTTGATTACCGATCATCATGGCCTCCCAACTAACTGTGCCAAATAGGTCTCTCCACCTTGGCGACTGGCGGTCTTTGCGTGACCTTGTGGTTCATCTTCAACCGGTACTATCGGCGTGCCCATGGTCTCGACAACGACCTCGAACTTGACTTTGATCCAAGCCCATCGGATGAGGATATGTACCAAACGAAGAATACGGCATGGTGGAGAAGGACGTGGTCGACTGTATTTGAAAGAGGGGGCCGTGGCAAAGCGGTGGTGCGAGGAACAACGGCTGGGATTCGTCAAAGCCCAAGAGCACAAGCCCCGAGCCGAGACGCCACTGCACATGGTGCTACTCGACCAGAACATGCAGGTGCGGAATCTGATTTGCAGCTTGTCGGAAGCTTAAGGGGTGGTACAAGACGAAGAGGGTTGAGCGGAGGGATGAGTGTAGGGCCAAGTCTCTCCTCACTGTCCATGACATCGTCGAGTCGTGGATGGTCGTGGAATGGTCGACAAAAGCCTCAAGGACTGGCGTTGGGAGATATAGAGTTTGGTGTCCTTCATGCCCATGTTTGAGTGGCACCGGCATGGCACGTCTTGCGCAGTTGGAAGGATGAATAGAAGGAATGGGAGTTAGAGGCACGCTAGGGTTCGGAATATCAACGTTAACGAATCGTCCCGTTGATAATAGACAGAAACGTCTTCCATCTTCCGTCTTATGGAACACGGGGCCACCCCAAGACCCATAGGTAGGTATGTATGGAAAGAAGCCAGAGCCAACACTTCATGTTGTCGGAGGAACAATTTCCAACTCCCTCAACTCCTCGCTCAACACAAAGTTCCAGTCCATGCCTCTCCCATGACGATGCCAACGCTAGAGGTAGACATTCCCAGAGTCTGTCTACCCTTCCAACCATTTTACATTTCCCCTCTCCCCCTTAAACCACCTTCCCTCCCAAATCTCCATCCACCCCAACCTTGCCCCTCAAATCTTTTCGATCTTCTAGAGGCCCTCTAAACCTTCCCAACCCCAATTGTCCCAGGATACCCCTGCACCCCCCTCCTCGTCTCCTTCTCCGTAACCATCAGATAAATAAGCACCAGAGGCCACGCTGATCCGCACAGAAAAGCTCCCACCACGCTCGCCAGATTGACTCCCTTTTCGCCGTGCTCCCCGGACCACCGCTCCAAAAGCCTGACGGCGGCAAAAATCACGCCGATGCCGTACGCTGAACAGGCCCATGTTATCCCGACGATGATGTCGGCGTGGCGGTCGCTGGGGGAGAGGACGACGCCCGAGGTGTCGGCGAAGGGTTCGGAGAGGGAGAGGTTTTGACCCATTTTTTTTTTTTGGAGATTTGGAAAGGTTTGGAAAAGGGGGGGTTGGTTGGTGAGGGGGGTATTGTTTGGGTTTGATGATGATGATATGCCGCTTGGGATGCTCGTAGGGGCGGTCGGTGGGAAGTGGAATTCAGAAAGGCGATGTGCTCGGATCGGAGGTATGGTATGGTATGGATATGGTATGGATATGGTTGGATCGGTTTGGTTCCCGTTGAGTGCGCGCGGCGCGGTTGTTTTCAACTCCGGTCTCTTTCTTTCTTTCTTCTTTGCCGGTGAATAAGGTAATAGACGAGTATAATATGCGGTTTGAGTCCGACGGGTTATCGATAACGGCTGGCTGTATATCTTGGCTTTTCGTGGACGTCTGTATCTAGAGTGGAGAGAGGAGGGAGAAGAACCGGCAAGAAGTAAAATGGTAGGTGTTGAAACTGAAGCGAACGGAAGGTTTCCCAGAACCGATAGAATAGAGACGACGAGTAGGTAGGTAGGTAGGTAGGTAGGTAGGTAGGTAGAAGGTAAGGACGGGAAGGTTTGTATGTTTCGAACCAGCGATCAAGGAACCTCTGAGGGAACGTAAACAATGTCCAGCAATGTCGAACGAGACGGAAGGAAAGGAAGCAGGCGAAGAAAAATTGACAGAAAGCAATTCAAGAAAGAAAACCCGACGAGTTTGCCCAAGAACTTGTTGGAAAGGAAAAAGCAATGGAAACGACGTGGAAAGATGGGATGTCCTCCAGTCCCAAAACATCAAACACCACATCCCCCATCCCCATCCGTTGTCGGATGCAAGCAAGTCCATGTATGTACACACAAACAAGCCGAGGACTCCCTACCTACCTACCTACCTACCTCTAGGTCACCATCGGGTCCCCCAGCCAAACCGGCAGCCAAACTGGGACCACCGTTGCTTCATGGCAAACCCTTACTTCCATGCTTGACTGTACCTTATAACCCCCTTCTCAATCCTTCACTGAATGAACTGAACAGAAGGTTTCGAGACGGTACCTAGAACAGAACCCAAGGTGATACGATGTCACCTAACCCGTTCGTTACGTTCGACAGCCCGGGGCGCCGACCCCTTGGGACCGTTGCGACTAGACTAGCGAACCGAGACGCTGTAATTGGTTGGCGCTCAGGGGTCTGCGACACTTGATGCTTCGGATTTTGTGTGGTGCTTTAGCCGCCCGGCCGCCCGGGCAATGCTAGAAAGCCCCCAGGTTGCGCCAGGGAGTCTCGTGTTGAAGCCACGGCGCTTCCCGGCCGGTATCCGGTGGGAGACGGGGTCTTTGGACTGATTGATGATGGGTGTTTAAAAGCTTGGAGCTGTCCGACGACATCATCTTCTCGTGCTGTGATGAAGTGACGTCGAAAGAGTCTTGGTGAGGTTTGTATGCGGCGCTGGGATGATCCCAGAAGACACCTGTAAGGTACCGCGGGAGCCCACTGTACCTATAGCGCTGGAGGTACTGTGCTATTTCTGACTTCGAATCTTGTGAACATCGTGATCGCAATCTTGACCGCAAAGCAGGACGAAATACAAAAAAATTAACTGCGCCGTTCTGTAAAATCCAAAGCAACTATATGACTACAACAAACGCCTGAACTCCCACATTCTATCTATCTATGTCGACAGAGAACTCCAAATGATCAATCCAAGAACCGTGCGGGCTTGAGCCTGCGCGACTAACAGCGCACTGTTCCTGACGTTGATACTCGCCGTCAGCACTAGTGTACTAGTGCCTCACTCGCCGTCCTATCAGTGTTGAAGGATGGCTGGTTTCGAACTGCGACTTGCCGCTTGATGAGCATTAAATTTGCGCGTCACCCTCATCAGATGTGCTTGACCAGGTAGAGACTCTTGAAGCTCCGTGGACGAGCTGTATAAAGAGTCCCAAACATGTCCGGCGGCATGTTGAAGTCGGCACGGGCCTCTCTCAACCCTCCAGCTGCGCTCCATGTGTCACGACTCCCATGGAATGACCTATCGCGCCCTGTGAAAGTCACCCCGATATTGAAGCCTCTGGTGAGTGCCTGGCCGACCGGCTTTGCCAAGGCCGAGTTCTTTCTTGACGAACAATGTTCTCGGCGCGCCGTCACCGTGGTTCGATGGGACCAGACGATAAGATCTCTAACGCGCTTCACGGTATAGCGGGCTTTGACGGCGTTGGTCGGAGGAAGGGATGCGCTTCGGTGTTGAAAACGTATTCGTCCAAGTCCACGAGATCTGGAGGGGAAAAGATCAAGTAAAAGTACTTGAGTGTCTCGGCTAACCAGAAGCTCTGCAGCACACTCAAAGTTAGCTGATGCCATTCCCAAAGGTTACTTCGCTGCCGCCGAACAACTTACCTCCATCGAGTCCATCTTCTGGGTCGGTCCGTTTACCGTCACGTCAGAAATTGCCGAGTAGGCCAGCTCCGTCTCCGTCGCCTTCACGATGCTTTCAAACATCTGCCATGCCAGCTCCCGCAGGTCTTCCTTGCCTGTCATGCGGTACAGCAAGAAGATACTTTCGATGGCTTCAGGCCGCAGGATATACCTAGTATCGCGCGCACTGGCGAACCCCTTCTTCAGTTCCTTTTTACCGAGCGCCTCCCACTTCTCCTCGTCCCACTTGCAGGGAGCATCCCAGGAATCACAGGATACCATGGTGAAGATCTCGGGCATGATGCCGGTTGGGAACGCATCGTAGGCCCAGCCACAGCCGCGCGCCAAGCGCTCGCCGATTTTGACATGCTCTTTGATGTCGAACAGCTTACCACCGAGCCCGAACATGCCACCCGCGAAGCAAGTGAGGTGCTGTCCCTCGGGCAGCCGGTCGATACGATCTGGATGCACGTGGGCATCGCCCACAAACAGAATGTCGTGGACCTTGGCTTCCTCCGCGGGCAACATTGGCCGGAAAAGAAGGTGTTGTGTCACGGCATCCATGGCGCCACGATGCATCTTCTCATACAATGGCGACAGACCACCCAGCAAAGCGTGCATCTTGGGCATATACTCGTACAAGGAATCGGCAAGGGCCCCGATAGTGAAGCGGCTTTCCAGATCAACGCGCTCTTCACGGAAGTTGATATTCCTCGGCCACATGCCGGGGAGCTTGGACTCGGTCTGTGTCCTGTTGAGGAAGTTTGAGATTCTGGTGATGGCATCATAGTACTTTTGATCGCCCGTCAACTGGGAAAGACGGGTAAACTCGAGCGAGAGCGAGCAAGGAGAGGCTGAGTGGTCATTGGTACCAGCGACCTGCACTCCCCGTTTCGCCTCCTCAAAGTTGAACCAGAACCCAGGCATGCGATTCGGGGTGTCGAAGCCCATGTACAGCATATCGCCCAACTCTTGCGCCTTGTCCAACAAGGCCTTCTCGCCGCTGAGATCGTAGGCACCGAGCAGGCCGCCGAGGTAACGGATGGTGGTCTCGAACATGTTGGCGGCCGTTTCGGTGGTATTCTGCCAATCCAGCTGAGCGGCAGCATTACCGGCGAGGTAGAAGTCGTCCCAAAGCTCCATGATCCACAAGGTATCGAGCGCGTCTACAGCAGTGGCTGCCCAGCCGCCAAACGTGGTCTTGCCGCCGCCGGTCACAGGGGCGAGTTCGTCGCGGAGCCAGGCGCGTTCCTTGTAGCTATTCCAGCTGCGCACAAAGGCGTCGCGAACAGCCTTTTGACGTTTCTTTGTTTTCGCATCGTGGACATAGTCGGAGAAGTCGTGCTGGACGAGGTTCTGCGGTTTGGGGGTTCCGGTCGGGAGTTTGTACGTGATCTCGACGGGGTGGAACTGCTTGGCGGCCGTCCAGTTGAAGCTGCTTGGCTTGAACTTGATGACACGCCCTTTCTTCGGCGGCGGCCTGTGTGCCTTGTGGTGTGGTGGGATCGACGACGAGGACTTGGGGTGGGTTCGCGAGTTGGGTGTCGGCAAGTCGGGCGATGTGCTCGGGTGGAGGATGAAGACGAAGAACAGGAAGACGGCGACGGCAAAGATGAGCCGTAGTTGCTTTTGGTTGGACATCTTTCTGCGAAACAGACGGAGTCTGGAGAGAAAGGAGAGGAAGGAGTCGGAGGAGGAAGTCATGTTCCCTCAATGCGTTCAAGTATCTGAAAGGGCGGCTTGCCCGTGTTCATGTCGTCTGGTGTCGTTGGCGCTCTTGAGCCGTGAAGCGCGGTTCGTTGCTTTTGCGGTTCAGGTTGCGGTTGCGGTTGCGGTTGTGGTCCATTGCTGGCGGGATGGCGATGCTACGGTCGCGTTGTCATTGTCTGCTGAACACAGTGTGCGGTTCTCTGTTAGTGCATGGGCCGCTGTTTCCACTTGTTTGCGTTTAGCGACGTTCCATCCGCCCAACATCAAACGGAAGCCGCTGAAGCTGCCCTGACACGCCCTGCGCCAAGGGCCCGGTTAATGGGGGTTTTGCGGGGGTCGAGTGCTGGAGAAGTTGGAAGCGCGGGTGAGATCAGCGGCCACCTCAGGGCATTTCAGCGCTCATCATGTCGAAATTGTATCCGGATTTGCTTTTGATGGAAGATGAAAACATGCACTGCCTAGGCTTCAGGCGGCAATTTGGTCGTATGGCTGTAACCATGTTGGCAGATGGTTAACAGATCCCTTGCTGCCAGGGCTGCGCACTGTTCGGCAGCTGCGACGTTGGTGTTTTTGGACGGTGCTGTGTTGAACTTGGTTGATCGTTGATGCTCAGGGGCAGATTGAATCACTGCGGCTTTGTGCGCATTACGTAAGGCAGTGTGATGGGGCCTAGCGGGGAGAAATCAGACGATCCGCGCACCAATTGGCCAATTAAACACTCGGGCTTGGGTCAGTAACCGCCGTTTATGCCAGGTTACCTTGTGCATTTTATGAAAGTCCTGTGCTTTCCTTCTGTTTACATCGACAACTCTTGCCTCCTCCTGACAGCCATGGACACGCATGGGCATATACAACGATCAAAGAGAATTATCAGGCTTTGGCTAGCCCCTCTGCCGCATGTGCCCCTATCTATTTCTTGACGGTTTCTGCCTTTGTTTGCCTGATGTTTGTTGGTCCTTGGTTGCCCTTGTCATTCAATGTTCAGGTACCCAACATTTTGCCTCTTCCTTGACTCGTTGGACACTGACACTCGGTTATTCCGTAAAGTCTGCCGGCAAATCAATGGAGCCGACATCGGATAACGAGAGAGGAAATCAAGGAGGATTTACTTGGGGGCTTCTGGGCGCCAAGCTTTCTTTGCCCCCTCTTTACCTTCTAAAGAGGGGGATCCGAAATTCTGGGACAGTCTTTTAATTTGGGACACATCAGGAATCTTGGCGTTCACCAGAGAAAATTGTTAGCGAAGCGATCGCGATAAACCATTCAACCACGAGACCATTTTTCAAAAATCTGAAAAGATTTAGGAAGCAAAAGGGAGTATTCAAAAAGGTATCCTCAAAGTTGCATCAATTTTTATCGAGGCGTTGGGGTGGAAATCCTAATACAAGCGTTCTTACTATAGAATTATCAACTCCGTTTGGTACTCGTTTGGGCTAGAAGCGTTTCGCGCCCCTAGGCTTCGCACGCATTCGGACCCTGCTTTCTATTCATTTTCTTAGATGATTTTCTTAAAGCTTCTAAAATAGCTTTTCTAAGTAAGAATTCTACCTTCGAATTTTGGTAGAATTTTAGAAAAATGTTCTGTGGTGGTTTTACATTGCGCTATCTTGCCTACTAATACTTTTCTGTAAGGAGTACTCACATAACCCGACCCTATTACCAAAGCTTCCTAACCTAAGTGGATACGCTAAGACCGACCCTATACTATGAAAAATCTCTTATCCGACCCTTGCCCCCTTAATATTTTCTTTCCCTGTAGAGAAATAATTAATCGCTCGCTCGAAGTTCCTTATAGAAAAATAATATTATTCGTATTTTTGAGTACTCCTCTTGAATACTAACGATTATATATTTAAATACGATTATAAACTGATTGCGACCGATATTTCTTCGTTATATACGAATAACTCGTAAATTATCTTTAATATATCCTTAAATTATTTTTGTAAAATAGTTAATAATATTATTATTAACGCTAATGGTTTAATTATCATTACTAAATTCGGTTTAATTGAATAGAATAATATAGTTTTTATTAAATTATTAATAATATTTAATTTGGAATAAGTAGATAGTATAGCGGCCGAATTTAATAAGTTAGAGGAATTAAAGGATATAACCCCTCCTAATATATTAATCTTAACCGACCTCTTAATATGTATAATTAATATATTATTAACATATTTTAAATATATTTTTTATTAATTAATAATATAATAATATTAATTATATAAAGGTTAAAATTATAGGCCTAATACTTATTTATCCGATAGTATTAATTAATATTCTAATTTCGTTTAAACGATATATTATATTATAATTATTTTAAAATACCCCGAATCTTCTATTCCTAGCGTAGCTTACGTTATAAATATTAAGGGTTTAACCGAAGCCTAGGTTAAGGCCCTATAGGACGAGGTATATAAAGTAGAACAATCCGAAATAAGTTAATAATATATATAGGATTAATCCTTAACTAATTTACGATATTATAGATTTACTATTATATAAAGAGGAAAATACTTGCTAAGGATATTTCGTTTAATTATTTAAATAACGTTATATACCGTTATATTACTTATAAATAGGTTAGTATTAAATATTACAAATATCTAGACTCGCGAATTTAGTAGGCGTATTAATAAAGGTCTACTATTATAATCGACGAAGAGGTTATAAACTTTTTATTTGAAATCCGCCTCCGATAAAATAAGGTCCTTTTAATTAAGCAAATTATTAAGTACGGATTTATCCTTAATTTATCCCTAAATTATCTTTTATATTATTTTAACCTAATTGAACAAAATTTATTTTCTATTAATATTATTTTAATAATTAGTTGGGTATAGGCGATTAGGACGCGTTAGGAAATATAGGGTTATAAAGAATCGAGGTCATTATAGAAATTCGTTTAGTATATAAGTAAAGTAAATTTTTATTTAGAATATATCTTTAATAATTAGCGTTATATTTAAGACTTATTTCTATTTAGATAATTACCGGCTATAATTGTTATAAGTTAAAGTATTAGAATTCGAAGCCGGGAGAGAAAATATACTTTTTTACTAGCTTTCCTAATAATTTTAATTAGTATTAATTATACGTTAAACTAATTATTAAAGGGTATGTAAGGGATTCTATATTCGATTTATTATACATTAAAACGTATATTAAAACGAATATTATACTAATAAGAAGGACGCGCTATAGTAAATAAATCTTTCCTTAATGTATTAAAAACTTATTAAAAATTTATTATTAAGAAATTAAAGACCGATTATATTTAAAAGTATAATATTATTAAAATTTAAAACTATAATATTATTATCAACTTTTATATTTTAATCGATACTAAAACTATCTTATATATCGTTATAACTTCCTATAATCAATATGCTTACCTATACTCCCTTTTTAATAAAACTCCTAAATAGATTATTAATAATTTAATACGGGTATTAGAAAAGGTAGGATATCCTAGTATAATTTGGAATAAATAAATCCGGAATATATTGTTGATAAATTAAGGATAAATTAGAGATTAATCCACGACTTAATAATTTTAACCTACAAGCCCTACTTTATTTAATTCCTTAACGAATACAATATTAATACTCTTAATTAAATTTATACGAGTTTTAATAATATTAATAAGGTTCGATTAGTAATTAAAAAGTATTGCGTTCTTATTTAGCTTTTAGGAATTTCGAACCTTGAAATTGTAATATAAGAATATTAATTAAAATACTAAAATTTAAATATTCACATAAATTTATATATCCGGGATTTATTAGGGATAAATTATTAATTTTCTTTTTTAATAATATATCTAGAAGGTCCTCAACGATAGGATTAATTTCATAATTATTCATTTCTTTAAAGAATAGATAGATTTCTTTCGTAAAGGCTTTATTAAATCCTTCGAATTGGATATAAATTATAAATATTTTTCCGGTATAGAGAATAGGAAAGTTATTTAAGGCTTCCATTTAAAATAGTTAAAACGATATAAATTATTAAATTTACTGGGTAATTGAGCAAGCTGTCGACTCTTTTCTTATTTAGGTCTTCAATAGCCTTAGTAATATTAAGACGTCCTTAGGCGTAGAGCGCGGAATAACCTCGCTTATAATATATCTAGCGAATATAAGATTATTTAGTTAAGTTATTTATTTATTCGGCTCAATTTAGCTATTTATTATCTTCGGTCTATTAATTGAATTTATTTAATATTTTAGCTATAGGCCCCCGCTACTTTTATTACTCCCTTAAGTAAGCGCTCTCTAATATTAGGACCGGAAATACGTATATATCCGGTCTAAATTATTAAACTAATTGATTCATTATCTTCGAAGCGTTTAATTATATACTAGTACTCTTTATATATTATTCGTAGTACAATGATTCTCTATTCGGTAAGGGAATATAAATTTTAGCGTTAGCGCTTAGGCGGGTCTGTATTACTATAGAATCTTACCGACTATTTACTTTATATAGTCGCAATCGAATAGCCCGCGCGCAAATAAATAATATATAATATAATATAGCCTCATAATACGCTAATGATTAATGGAGTATTTATAGGGCGAAATATTAAATTGTAATATCTTTATATTCCAAGACTAGCTTAGGTATTATTATATATTAGAATATTTATATCGTATATAGTATTAACTTGCCGCCTCTCTAACGGTTATTTTATTATATATATAATATAAATTCGTAAAACGCCTAAGAATGCAACGCTTTAGGGGTTACTACGTAAATTAATTAGGTAGACCCTAATACCGTCGTCGCTCGTACTAAATTAATAAATAAATTCAAAAACCTACAGCTAGAATTAATTGTATAGCTAGAATTAGTTAAATTAATCGGAACTTAATCCTTTATCTATACCAGAATAATAAATAAACGAATTAAGAATATATTATATCCTTATTATTATATTCTTATTATATTTAATAATTCTAATGAATCTTTATTAAACGTTCTTATATTTTATTTTATTCGTCTGACGAGTTTCTCTTTGTTCGGTATTTACTCTTCTATATTTTATTAATATTTAATATTCGTACTTATTTTACTATATTACTTCCTTTACTAATACTTTTATTAAGTACGACTTATAACTACCATTTATTCTTAATTCTTACGCTAAACCTTAATTACTTTATTAATCGTAAGTTTAGTTTATAAATAAGTTAGGATTTATAACCCTATAAATATACTTTTCGGCTAAGCCCTATTTATTTTATTAATCCTCCGTACCTACTTTATCATATTACTTCTTTACTATATTGCTTCTTCTACTATACTTCCCTTAAATATAACTTATAACTACCGTTTATTTTTAATTTTTATACTAAGCCTTAATTATTTTATTAGTCGTAGGCTTAATTTATAGATAAATTAAGATTTACAACCCTATAGAGGTATTTTTCGGCCAAACCCTATTTATTTTATCAATTATAGGCTTCATTTTGGATAAATCAAATAAAGACGAATAATATTATTAATGTAATATTATTAATATATTATCTTTAATAAAAAAAGAAAATAACCGGGTAAATAATCTAACGTAATCGACGATAAATACGTAATAATTACGTACGAAGTATAATACTCCCAACTTATATATTATATTAAATTCTATTAATTAACCGAAGCTTCGATTATTTTTATTGTAGCGTGGCCACTATTATCAATATAATCTATAGAGAACGCTAGCGAAAACGCCGGATATAATAAAGAATTCGAATAGCTACTATAGAAGAGGAAATATAGTATAGAAAAAAATAATAGAATAGGATAAAGCGGTAGTATAATTAATAATAGATTATTAGGAATTCCTCCCGTTTATACTTCCTAAAGTACGTACTTTTTTACAAACCCGATTCGTAATACCCTATTTTATAATTTATACTAATTCGTCGAACGTAAATAAAAATATTTACCCCCAACGTTAGATAATTAAATTCTCCCTTTCGTACTTACGCGTTAAAACCCTATATTATCTAGTATTATATTCTATATTAAACGCATTTAATTAGTTCGTAAGGATTACTTCTTTATTCCTATCTAATTATTTAAATAATAACTTATTATAAATCTTTTTACATTCGTCATTTTAAAAGCTTCGACCCCCAAGGTTTAGGCGGCCGTTCTTACTATGCTATTCCCTAATTAGAAAAACCTTGCTAAAAATACTTACCGGTCGGAATATTTA